TTGCAATTATATTGCAGTAATTTTCTAGTATTTTTGCATTCTGCCTATTGATGGACTTTCAGGTTAAAGGCAACTTCTGTGGGCTTTTTTAAAATTAAAAACTGCATTTATCTTGAATAGTAAAGATTAAGCTGGCCTTGCATGAGGGGCTTGAATTGGTGTTGTGTCCAGTCATGGTTCAGTTCTGTTATCATTTTTTGGCACTAATCATGTTTTGGTAAATCTCTATTCCTATCGAGAGCATCCCCGTGCTGAGAAACCACAGTTTTGGAGACCCACAGACACCTTGGTCGAGGAAATGCAGCCACCCCTGGGTTTGGACAGAGCAGGACAAACCCTACCTTGCTGTCCCCTGCCTTCACTGCCAGCATCAGGTCATCCTTGAGCTGTTTCTTGCAGTGCTCACACGTGCAGTCGAAGTAATATTGCTTCTTCAGCTGCTTGCGCCGCTCCTCGCTCAGGTTGAGGAAATCCACGTAGGAAACCGTCAGCTCATCCCCTGGAGAAATCTTGTTCAGAGCCCTCAGCTCGATCCTGGGGGCAAAGGAGATGGGATGTGCGCCTGGAGGAGCAGCAGAATGTGGCCACAGAACCATCTGGGATAAATCCTGTGACCTGCCCTGCCCTGCAGAGATGAGCTCTCACCCTAAGGCACTGCTGGAAGCCTTCAGGGAGGAGGTGCAGAGGTGAACAGAGCTCTGGTGGACTGAACACAGRGCAAGAACACCGTCACACCAGCTTTTCCTGTCCCTCTGCAAGTCCCTGGCAGGGATATGTAAAGATCTGATCCATAAACAGCTTATGGCTCCATTACTTTAACAGATAGGGGCTGAACTTCAACATCAATTTTACTTGTTGCAGAAGATCTCACCAGAAAAAAAAAAAAGCACTGAGATCAGAAATACCCACCAAAATGCTGAGTTTGGATTTTGGGTCTTTTTTTTAAACACTGCTTTGCATGCTACCCACACACCCCTGGCTATACTCCCAGATCCTGAGCTGTGCTGCCTTTGGTATCGTTTTCTCTTTAAAAAGTTAAAATAAATTACCTCTGGGTGCTGGGTAGGAGATACTCTCACCCTGTTCATGCATTTCCACATAAAATCTTGGAAATAATTATCTGGAAGGGGTCTATTTTAAAACAGCTCATTTGACCTATTCCCACAATTCAATTGCCAGTCTTTGTTACTGAAATCCACAGCAAGACCCTGATGGTGGGATTTGGGAAGTCAGATCTTTGTACCTGCTTTTCCCTCATGTCATTCCCTCCAAAAATAATGTGGACACACAGAACTATTCCCTTGCTGCTTCACTCCACGGAGAATCTCAGTTACTCTGGGCCATCTTTAGCTGCAGGGACTAAACAGGCACAACTGGCTGGAGAATTTGGCCAGAATCAGAAAAAAAATCCATCAAATACCAACTGTGAGGTGATTCTTCTGTATGCAGCTCCTCTCTCAACTGCTAGTGAGATATTAAATATACTCAACAGTATATTTAATGTACCTGCTCTGAGATAGACCAGGGAGGACCTGCTGGCTGCCACCAGAACGTGAGGTGCTTTAGGTGGAATCCAAAAAAAACCTCACTAAAATCTCATTTCAGAGGTGGAGGAGGACTCACAGGTATCACCAGGTGCATTAAGTTTTTTTGGGAGGACATGACTTATTCTGTGTGATCATGTTTTTGCAAAGGGATTGTAATTTTCCTGTAATTGCCTTTTAATTCCCTTGGAATTCCCATTACAGGCTCTCAGCACCAAAGGTGTTACTCTGAGTCTTCCAGCTCTACTAAAGCTGCTGTCAAAATTCCTCCCCAAAACTGGTCTTGTCCTTCTCTGGGTGTTGTCATACCATGAGCATATTTCAATACAAAAATTTATCACTAAACATGCCATCGTCACAAAGGGCAGCTATTARTGATGTCACAACCACAGGAAAATGCCAGAGAGAGAGAGGTGCAACCTGCCACTCCAGGAGGAAGTGCATGGGAAAGAGCAATTCCCACCCAAAAGGTTCAGACACATAAACATTCCTGTTCACACTCAACAGGATCCTCATTAAAGTGAGCCATGCAACCAGAGAGGCAGAATCMAGCCTCTGACTTTGATGATGCCCCTGATAGCCCAAGCACTGTAGGAGTATTTTAAGCAGCCATCCCTGTGTGGAGGGGGTTGAGAGCCTTTGGGATAAGCCAGGAAAGACGTGGCATATCTTAAATACTTAAATATCAGGAGCACAGCACTGAGCTTGTCCAGGGCTCTTTCCCCAGAGTCTGCCACGAGCAGCTGGGACCTGGCAGCTGCACGCACAGGCACAGCAAGTGCCCAAAATCTCCAAACTCAAATGGCCCCAAATAGCACCTCTAATCAGAAGTGAAACTCATTCACCCCTTTTTTAATGGTCCTATCTATAATGTACTGAGTAAGATTTAACAGTGAACAGGAGCACTTCRAATGTATTTCACATCTTATTTGAGGAAATTACATGCCTGCTTGAAATTAAATTTTAAAGACAACAGTGTCACCCTAAGTACACTGACTATAATATACTAAATGCCAGGAGTTAAGCAGAGATTTTCTTTTTTTTCCCCACATATTTTTGTGATTTATTTAGTTTGGATCGGGTAACAGTGGCATCATTAAAAGGTGGAACATTAATCATGGATTACGATAAAAAGGAATTGAAACCTACATTTCATGGTACTACTGCTGTAGGCAACACATTCCTCGAGCAGTTTGTTGCAGAAGAAACGTGAACTATTTAGTATGTCAGTAACACAGTCATTTCTCATCTCCTCATATGCAAGGTTTTATTTTGGGCTGTGCAAGATTAGTGAGATCTTGTTCTGACTTTCATGCTCTTGCCATGGTCAGGGGAGGAGAAATGAGAAGTGGAGAGGAGAAATACTGACAGGGAGGAAGCCAAGGGAGAGGGTGGGAAGGCAGAGAGGGAATTCATCCTTGGGAAKATAGTCACAGGATTACCACTATCATTTTAATTCACTACAAAATGCAGAGGTAAGTGAGGTTTGGGTTTAGTGGGGCTTTATACAGGGGAGGAGGAGAATTTTAGGAAACAGGGAAAATGAAATTTGGTACAAACAGAGGGAGCCCCTTGGGGTCTCTGCATCTTTTCTATTAATTACAGGGCATGAAGGGTATGGGGTATTGGAGGAGAATGATGTTTACAAGACTGACCCACCTCATCTGTGTGTGGAACATTGATCTTACAGCCTCATGACTGAAAGACAAAACAAACATCTGCAGTTTACACACGTACAAGTACAACAATAACAGAAACAGTGGGTGCATGGCATAGCACTGGACACTGTAGTGACAGGGGACAGGTTCCCTGCTCCTGGCTCATGTGGCACTGCATGAGAACCTTCCTTTTGCTATGCAGCTGCCAGGACCGAATTAACATCACTGAGCCATAGAGAATTTGGTGGAGAACTGCCCTGGCACTGTGATTTTAGGAGTGATCTAGGTCAGGAAATGTGCAAAACCCKYTCCTGACATTTGGCAGGAACAAGGRGACTGGATCTCCTGCACAGAAAGGTCTCCACTGACATCAGCAGCCATGCTCTTTAAAACAGAGCTCAAAATGGAAATCACACTGGGATATCAGCCACAATTTACTTGGCCAATAACCAGATGGTCAAGTTTAAAGTYGGTAACCAGATACATGTGGGAGCTTTGATAACCTTTCCTGTACTTACCCAGAGAGTTAGGGTGGCTATCACTGCTGGYTACCTCCTCTGCTGCTGGGAAATGTTTGGAGATGGTCCCCCATCATCCCACCATGAATCCAGTCCAGGGCAACTGAATATCACAGTACAGCCTCCAACCTGACTTTGGATCAGACCCTATGTCCCATCCAGTTTTGTTTTCTCTTTGCTGATTTACCAGCTGCTTGATAAATGCTGGKGTAGTTTTATCAGGGAAAAACCAGCAGTGATAGCTGGAGTGCAGAAGCAATGTGTTAGTTGAAAAAAGAGAGGCTAAGGGGTGTTAAATTCGAGCACTAAAGTCTGGTGAGGGCAGGTAGCTGCAAAATCATAGCAGAAAGTTCAGAGGGAATCCTGTGGCTGTGCAGTTTTTGGCAAGCAATTTCCCACAGTTAATGYCCTGCACACACTGCAAATTTCTGCATCAACAGCAGTTTATACCTGTCATGGCTTGGAAACTGGGAAGGACAGAGCATCCCTCCTGTGGGCTGCCTCCACTCTCAGCTCTGCTGAAACATCCCTGCTTTTCTCACTGAACCTCTTTCCATCTCCCTTCTCCCACGGAAGTTTTCTTACAGGACTTGGGTGGGAATGAGGAATGCCCAGAGACTGAGAGCATCCTGCACTCACAGATAACAATCAGAGCTGTCATTAAGGTCCCATTGCTAAAGAGTTAATCAGTGATTAATTGAGGTGGTACACTCTCACCAGATGGGGGCTGTGTTAGGAATGGTTATAAACACACCAGCAGAGAGTGATACACAGCTGAGTGTAAGCTGTGGTTATGAGAAACTCTTGGACTGTGGACTCAGCATAATCCTTAATAATTTACTAAGTAGAATTACTCCTTAATTGYCTATAAGTGAAGCTTCAGTATAAGGGGTGAGTTAAACATCTATTTACTACTTTATCTGCCTATTTTGTGTCCAGTTACAAAACTCATAAGAAACCAGGGAAAAATTCTTTGCTGGTTGCTGGATTTGGGATCAAATCTGGTGTATTTGTTAGTGCATCAGATGATAACTTTTTAAAACAACAATGAGAGAAACCAGTTTCTCTTTAGCAAGAAAATATTTTTTTTTCTGAGTTAGAGAAGGAAATAAAAATTGATAGATTTTCTGGGRCAGGGACCTGACTCTGGGGTAGCAGAGCCTGCTGAGTTAGGATCCATCCCGAGAWGAGAAATCCACTCACTTGCCATTGTTGAAGACAACGGTGCAGTTGGGCCAGCAGTCGTGGTTGGCCTGGCAGAGGTTGGGGAAGATTCCCACTCCAACAGCCTGCAGTCCTCTTTGGTCACTGAGGGTAAAGCCATTGCAGCTGATCTGGTCCCAAAACACAGGCAGGAAGAAGTGTTAAAGGAGAAAAAAGCTGGAATGCTGCAGTCAGGATAAAACATCGGAAGAGAAGCAAAGCAGGACTCATGCAGAGGGACCAACCCAGGGCAGAGCTGAGTAAATGTTACTGAATATTTGCTGTCAATGTTCACTTGGGATGCCTAAAATAAACTTGGTTTGGCCATGCAGTGGTTCCCTTATATTTGGTTCCTGCAAATAATTCAGAAAAAGGTCACAAGRTAATGATTTTTGAGGCAATTCAAGCAGAAAGCAAAGTTCAGGCTCAGGAAAGCAGGTGTCAGTTAGAAATTAACCTTGACTGCTGCATTCAGCCTGGTCATGTTTGCTGGGTTGCCCTCAAAGCTAATAAAAAGCAGCTACTACTCTTTGCTATGAATTCTCAGAATGATTATTTTTGCGTCACATATATTCCAAGAAYGAATTATTTTACTTTTCTATATGATACACTATTATCACATATGAACAAAGCAGTTTTCAGTCACCAACATAAAAAAATGGAAATACCTGCAAAGAGAAAATGTAATAGGGTAGACCAAAAGAAATAATTAACTCAGCTGTGGATGATTTTACCCTGTTAATAGTTTTATTTCCTTTGGTGGTGCAGGGTTACCCCATTCATACCAGTGCTGAGGGCAGAGAAGCTCAGTCTGACCTGGCTTCTTGGAATTTCCCTCTCTGCCACACTGGGAACAAAAATTTGTAATTAATTTCATMATATCCATTAATAATATCCATCAATAATGGATATTATTAATAAATATATTTAGTATCTTTTACTGATTTTATTATATGTATTTTAAAATGTAAAAAAAATCAAATGGACACAATATTAATATATATTAATGTATCTACTGAACAGATCTGCTATACTCAAATTCTAGGTGTATTTACTAAAAATACTTTTAGGTTTTCTCAGCTAGAAAGATGTAGAGAGATGCCCAGTGGCACTCATGAGGACAATGCAGCACCTGTGATTGAGCAAACTTTTGTCTGCAGGTTTAGGCAGCCARAATGTCTCAGTTCTTGCAATGCCTCAATTTCCCAGTGTCAGTGCAGAGGAGAAGCAGATGGGAATGGGATGAAAATCCTCAAACCAGGCCAGGTGGAGCATTCCACCCCAAAGCTGGCATTACAAACCCTCCCCAATTTTCTCTCCCACCCCAAATCCGTACCACTCCGAATATGTGGGAGATGAACTGCATCCCGAACTGCTGGCAGTGGGGTGGCCAGAACTCCAGGAAACTCTCCACATCCGCACGCAATTCCTTCTTCTCCTCRTCTCCAAAGCTGTCCACGTGGTTCTGCAGCTCATCGATGGACACCAGGCAGCCCTCGGACAGCCCRCTGCCCTCCCTCTCGATCTTCCACAGGATGCGTGCGGCCAGCCTGCCCGGGAGATGGACACAGGGGTTATCACAACATCAGGAGAGAACAAAGGACCATCAGAAATCAATTCCTGGGTGGGGAAATGTGTGCAGGGAGAGTGACTGAGACAGGCTCAGCATCAGATGGGTGATGGGGGGTCACCTTCTGAAGGAAMGGGAGGTGCAGGGATTTGTCTCAGCACCTGAGAAGTGCTACAGACCCCCAGCTCCTCAGCCCTTCACCTTTCCTCTCATTTCCTTGAGTATTCCTCTCCTTTTCTTATGAAAGGGCTGGAATGTGAAGACAAATTAATGTATCCTATAGGCAAATTGGGGAAGAATCCATCTCCTCCCCCGCTTTTCCTCCTACTACGCCATTTCCCACACCTCCTAATCCATTTAGGATGGCTTTGCCTCACCATGTTTGGAACCACATTCAGAGATTTTAGGGTCCAGCACCAAAAAAACAAAACCAAACCATAAAAACAAAAACAAACAAATTAAAAAATGAACAGGAGACAAACCCTTGCACCAGGTCCTTATCCCTTCAGCACAGGGATGCTCCTGGAGTTCCCTAAACCTTCTCCTGCCTTAACCTCACCCAGCTCTTCCTTCCTCTCCCAGGTATCTGGGCCCAGCTCTCACCTGATGTTTTCGGTGGGTGCCTTGCCGTGCCTCTTGATGGCAGAGCACTCATTTTTGTGGTTGAGCCAGGCTGCTCTCTGGCAGGTCCTGTCACAGTAATAGGCAAACTTGCACTGCCCGCAGCGGTGGAGCCTCTCCTGCCTCTTGAAGCATGTGTGACAGATGACGTGTGTCAGGCTGGAAGGACAGAAGGACACCTTGGATCAGCTCCAGCCAGCAAARATCCTGCCAGATCTGCACCCCTGGCCTCCCTGCAGCACAGAAAATGCACCTCTCAAGGTTTTTTTGGGAGGATGAAGAAACCCACCCAGTTTCATCCTTGTGTGCTTGCCCAGTTCTGTCACTGTAAGTTAAATGGATGGGGTATTTCATCTTTAGGGGATTCAAAACGGGATTTCCAAGAAGCATCCTACAACTGTGTGCATGGAACTATAACCAGTGCTGGAGGAGGAATGAACACTGATGAAGGATCTGACCTCACGTTCAGGGTCCCAGGCTGAGGGGAAACCTCCCCAAAAATGCCCCTTCATGTGTCCAGCTGTTGCTCCTAGATCCTAATTCCCTGAGAAAGAGGGGAAGACACTTTGGTCTCCTGCCCAAACAACTTTGGTGCTTCCCCCTTGCTGCTAGAGAGGGTTTTCACTGCCTGATTTGGTGTCTCCAGCTGTCTGCTTCTCCAGGCAACCGCCCACTTTATCTGGGCCTCCAGCCAGGCTCAACACTACAGGAGAATTTAAATTCCCATCACTCAGCCACTGCTGGGGCCAGAAGGGAGCTCCTTCTCACTGCAAAAGGCTGAGGGACCACAGAGGCTTCCTGATCAGGAGAACATTTATCAGTGTCCACAGCACAGAGTGGGGAAACTGAGGCATGAGGAAATTAAAAAAAATATTGATGATCCAGTAAGGAGGATGTGCCACTGGTAGGGATCAGACCTGTGGCCCCAGAGTTGAGCCCAAAGACTGTCCTGTCACTCTACTGTGCCTACATATATATATATATATATATATATATTTACATATTTATATCTATCAGAGTACATTTAAAATGCATTTTCTTTCATCTGAAAACATTGTGTGACCTGCTGACACAATCAACCCAGTGCCTTGGCTCTTGCAGGAGAAACAGGGCCACTGATTTCAAAGCAGGATGACCCACAGCAGACAAAACCACATGCAAAAATGAGGCTTGGAAAATGAGGTTTGGGAAAGTGGGCAGTGCTGGAGGGAGCTCAGTGCAAGGGGAGCACCTGGGATGGGGCAGGGGGAGTGTGTGTCTGAGAAGGGGGGTGCAGCCAGCTCTACCGTGTCAAATGGGAGAGCTGAGAGCTGCTGAGAAATGTGAGGCTGTGCTCTGTCAGCTGTCAGGTCAGGGGGGCAGAGAGGGGGCAGAGAGATCACACTCCTTGTAAGGCAAAGCAGAGCCAGAGCTGATAAAACCCGCCAGGAAGCACAGGGAGATATCTCACGTGGGGAGGGGGTCCCTCTCGCCACCTGGGTGATTTAAGGGCAGTCAGAAACAAAAAAAAAAAAAAAAAATTTCCTTGCAGAGAGGAATGACAGGTTGGAAAGGAACACAGTGCAGAAAAGCCCAAGTCCTCCAACAAGTGCTTCTCTCCCCTCAATTTGCTCCTAGAGAACAAAATAATGCTGAAATGCTGGTTTTGCATTTTGCTGTTGATTGCAGAGGGTGTCCAGATTTTCCAAAGCAAATCTCATTGGCAGAACTTACTGCCAGCTCTGGAAATCCCTCATTCCTCAGGAGATGCAGAAATGCATGAMAAAAGTTCTTACACAAGACTTTCTGAGAAAGCAAAAGAGCAGCCCATGTGGTATGGAAACTGCAGRGACAATTACTCACTGATCTGACTGGCAGTGTAAGAAATACTGCATCTCTTACAAAGCCATTATGGGTTTGTGTGCCCTGAAATGTTTCCAAGAAGACTGGATTTATTGCTACTGTGTGTTATCARGACTCCAGAGGCACAGGCTCAGCTCTAGGCATAGTAAAAGCGTCAGGAGACRCAAATATTTGAGACCTATTCCTTAAATCTTCAGCTAACTCTGCTTAAGCATCTGCAAGCACTGAAATCCCCCAGGTGCCCCTTGGCAGTGTGCAAACTCTGCTGTCTCAGAGGAGCTCAGAGCTGGGTGCCCCAACAGGGGATGGCAGAGTGGGGATCTCCCTTGGCTGTGTTTGACACCCTCTGMCACCCTCTGCCACCATCTGCTACCATCTGGTACCATCTGACACCCTCTGACGCCATCTGGTACCAACACCCAGCCCACCAAAGGCTCTCAGTGGTTCACAGTCTCCCCTCTCACCCCCTCTGCAATGTTAGGGTTCTCCAAGTGGAGCAGGCTGAGATTAAACCTAAATCTCTCACTGGTCTGTAAAACCTTCTCTGTCTGGTCTAGAAAGTGTTTAAAACAGGCCAAACCAGCTCCAGGTGCCCCAGATCTTCCCTCCCTGTGCAGAGAGCAGTCACACCCACATGGTCAGGATGCTGCATGGCCAGGCAGCACTGAAAGTTTCTGGAGACAACCCTGGGGAGTKACTTCTGCTGTGGCAGGAGCCCTGGARGTTTGAACCCTCTGGATCTCACTGYTCAGCTTGCCTTGCTTTGCCACAGGGACAACAGAGATGCTTTTCTCTGTTTCTGTGCACTCCAGAGCCCCTGAGGTGATGACTGCCATCCTCCACACATAGTGAGAGCTGGTTCTCACCCTGCCCAAAAGCTGGATCTCCTTTAGGGCAGTGATGCCTCCAGACCACAACAAGCTTGCCAGGTCAGGGATTTAGGGCTGCCAGGTCAGGGATTTAGGGCTGCCAGGTCAGGGATTTAGGACTGCCTTAGAGGGCAGATGCACTGACTGACTCCCTGAATGGCTTTCTGGGTACACTCAGGTTTCCTTTGCCTCACGTGCTCTGATGTTCCTCAGGTGAGACACACAGCTACAGCTAATCCTGGGTGCAGCTGCAGTGACAAAGACAGGGATTCACTGTGCCAGCCAACAAATGCAAGAGGGAACAGAGCACTGACAGCTAAACCACGGCTCCTGTGAGTGCAGCTCGCAGTGAAAGCAGAAGAAACAACTCTTGTGACTGCTTGGATTGGATTCAGACAGATTAAGGTCTGTTGGACCTGCCAGGGCTGAGCACTGTCACAGGAAATGTGTTACCCTCATCTCTGAGACATGCACAACCCAAACAGCTGCCATCCAGCACCCACAACATCTCATTCACAGGCCTGGAAAAGCCAGGTGAGATGGCTKTAGTGCAAGGGGCAGAGGAGGATTTCATTGATGTGGCTCACAAACTTTTTAACATAGGTTCACCTAATTTATTATTGCCTAGCTGGACATCTCTCTCCTCAGTCTGCTACAGACAACAGCTCAAGACGAAGGCAAAGCTTCCTTGGCTTTCAAAGCAGAGCCTGTAACACTTCATTAAAGACAGCAGCCCAAGGAAATGCAGCTGCTGTTTCAGCAGTGAAAGCACAAGGGAGKTACTCAATAGCTGCCTTTTACTGAGCCTACCTAAAGATCAATTATTAGCCTAAAAATGGGTTTGCACCTTTAAAAAGTATTTGGAGTTTAGTATTTTCTTCTTTAAAATGTCAGGGATGACACATCCTAGTTTTTTCTGATTTGAGTGGAGGATTTATTTTAGGCTAATTTTTGGACTATTTTATTTTTAGTCTTTTGTTACAAAAATTCCCAGCTTCTTCTTAGAGGTGTGGGTGAGGATTTCTTTTAAAAAGCTAGATTTTCTCCCAGGTTTTGTTTAAGCTTTCGAACAAATGAGATAATAATAAAATAATCAACCTCCAGAACATTTTAAAAAGCATGAATAGGATCTCAATTTTTATCGGTACCAACTCAAAGAATGTGTTCCCATAACCTTTTCAGAGCCATGCTATTATGGAAAATTTTGGATTTCTTAGATCCCTAGGTTATCCCAGTTACAAAATCAGAGCTCCCCGTGTTTCCTTGGGAAACATTTTGGGCCTGTTTCACACATAAAAAAGAAGCACAAAAATTGCATGAACTCAGTTTTTTTAGCAATTTGCAGATCACTCCTGAAGCAGATCTCCAGGTGATCTTGGCTTTCCACCACACAAAGCTGTTTCCCTTGTCTACTGCCCCTCAAACTCTGCTGGTTAAAGAACAATCCTTCTCTTGGCAGAGACAGAGACACGAGGCATCCCCTTGCTTATAGGAAATGTAAACTCTTGCAGGCTTGAGAGCCAACAAAATGTGCCAGAGGAGAAGGTCACACAGAGCACACTGAGCTCCTGGGAATGCCATCGTCATGGAGGTGGCAGGGAGGAAAGGAAACCTGGCATCTTCAAGGAGAAAACACAGAGGGAGGAATGATTAGAGAAAGCTTCAGTGACAGGCTCAGGGGCTTTGCAAACGGAAAAATTAGCCCAACAAAAGTAAAGAATCCTTTGAGAAGATGGAATTCCAGCTTTCTGCTTCTGCGTCAGGGCAAAGCAGGCCTGGCACTGGTGTCTTCTGAGTGATATTTCAGCTGGTAACAGCAAGGCTGAATCAGAGATCAGATTGTGTTGACACTTTACCCTGGAAATCACAGAATTCTGCACCCATTTTCCTTCAGGACTCACTGTCTCTCTAAGCAGCCTGCTCTCATTCAAATAGAAGTAACAGGCTTGATACAAGAGTCAATGCCAGAAAACACTGGGTTAAGCAATGATGTTATAGGRAAAAAAATAGAAATCAGAATGTTTTGGGTTGGAAAGGACTTTTAAAGGTCAKCCAGTCCAACCCCCCTGCAATGAGCAGGGTTAGCCTAGTGAGTCATACCCTGGCCTTAAAAACTAACTATGAGCAGGCTGGTGTTTATAGGAACTTCATTTTTCTTTGAGTTTTATGTACTTCTAGATTAAAAGTTTCTGGCAGTGAGTAAGAAACTGCTGCTCAGATGATCATTGTGGGCTGAAGAGTACAAGCCCTCACCAGCCCTAATGACTTCAGGGACCTTCAGGGGCTTCCAGAGTGGGATGCAGCCTGTAGATTTGGATACCTAGATGGGCTCATCTGTACCCCCTGTGTCTGAAATTCCACCAGTGGGGTTTGGGAAGTCATTCAGCTCAAAGGCAGGTGTCTATGTTCAGTGCATGAGAGTGTTCAATGGATTATAGGGGCACTTAGGGCTGGATTCACTTGTCTGGGCACAGGAGTCTGGTGTTAGGCTCTGCAGGGACACCTGATGATAGAGATTTGTCAATGAAACATTTCTCCTTTTCCCAACAAAATAAAATTCTCCACATGCCCTCAAACTCACGCTCCAATTGAAAGGCAGACATCCATAAAATGCAGTTGGGTGACAGCCTCAGGTCCAAGTTACTTCAGCAGCTCCTCACATCTCTCTGTCTGTCTGTCTATGTATCTATCTCTCTCTATCTACATATCTAAGTCAGGTTGGAGTCTGTACTGTGATATTCTTGATTGAATCCATAGCAGGGCAATGGAAGAGCCTCTCCAAAAGCTCCCATCAKGGGGGGAGGTCACAGCAGTGACAGCAGCCCTGAGCTCTGATTTTCTGGRTGGTCAATTGAGGAATAGCATTTTATTTGCCTGGCAGGTTGTCAAAGMTCCCACGTGGAACTTGTCACTGACTTTAAACCTGACCATCTGGTTATCARCCAGGTGAATTGTGGCCGATATCCCAGTCTGATTTCCACTTTAAGCTGTGTTTTAGAGAGCAAGAGTGTGTTCTGTCTCTKCAGAGCTGCTCCCACTAATCTCAGAAAGACCCTCGCTTCATCTGCACATCCTGTGCAGCCCCACAATGTGTGGGGCCTCTGCACTATGACTGCCATCCATACATCTCTCAACAGCAAAATTGGGAAGGATTTTGGGGTCTCAACACCCACAGACTGGGAACAGACTCCCCAAAGAGCTGAGCTGTTCAAAGGGCTGCAAAGCAGACACCAGTCTGCACTCTGGTGTTTCTGTGTGGTCTTTTTGCACAAAGAATGCTGAGATCTCTGGAAAATGTGGTCACATATTTGGTAGGACCTGAGCCAAGAACTTAAACCTAGCAATAATTCATATTTGAATCTGTTTTACACATACACAGTGCTTTCAGCAAGACATGGGAGACACTGAGTTGGGTTAGGATGAGGGGCTCTGGATTTGGGRTTTCCCTGTGCAGGCTGAGACCCTTTTTTTATATTGTAGACTCAACACCAATTTTAGGACTTATATATGTGTGTTTGAGGGAAAGGAAACCACACTCCACTGGGCTTTTCACCCATGCAGAGGCGACAGCAGCTCTCTCAGGGTAAAATCAGCCACCGGGGCCTAGTGTGGATTTATTCTTGCAGGTCCTGCAAGGTCCCAGGTAACCCTTCTTTGACAGCAATCAATTCAATGGAGTTTGATGCAATTGAATATCCCTGGAAGCTTTTAGAACCAAAGCCCTGCATGTGTAAGAAAAGCATAAGGGTGATTTCAGCAAGAAATATTTGTGTTTCCATTTTATCTCATAAAGGCCCAGTCTTTATCCTGCTACTATGAGCTTTAGTCTGTTTAAGAGGTTATGACGCTGCATTTCGTCACCGACCTATAGTCAGTGCTTTGGGATAAAATRTGTCACAARAGGGTWAGAATCCATTAATATTGCACAACARWCACCAAGAAGGACTGTGTTTATCTTGAATTCTTGCTGTTCAGTCTCTGGACCTGCCCTTTGGGAGCTAAACAAGCCCAGCTTGGGAAGGAAAGGAGGGAAGCAGGGAAGAATTTCTCTTCCCATCCAAGGTTTTCTGTTGGAAACCTCAACCTAAGACACAGTCTGCAGTCTAAGAGCAAATACAGTGATGGCTTCTGCCCTAATCTCACATTACAAGAGTGACATTTGAAAATGCAGCAAAGCTGTAGCTCTTCAACATGGGCAGCTCTGCTCTATGCATGGTGCAACATTTCACACAGAATAAAWAATATTTTTAACCCAACATCAGAAGTCAAAATGTTTTCAGCGGTTAAAAAAAAAAAAGTATTTTTAATAAGGCATGTGAGAGAAATAATTGCCCATAGGCACTTCTGAAGCAAATCACCACAAAATTCCTGCTAGTGGCACAAGTGAAACTGAAGTAYAAGAGCTAAAAGGACACATCAAGGAGAAAGGATTTTGTCACCAGCTCCTGTAATTGAGCTCAGGGTTAAGGCTTCAAGAACTCACCATTTTAAAGTGAAAAATGACATTTTTAATGGGAGCTCTTGCAATGACATATTAAAATAAAAACTAAAGGTGTAATCCCTGCTTATTGCAAAGATTCATAATCATGTTCACCCACTGACAGTTAAAGGACAAGGAAACCGTGAAAGACACACAAAAAAAAATCTTATTTCTTGCTCTGTCCACTTTATATCCAATTCTCTGCCTCTGCCATATCAGAGGCACTGATCAGCTTCAGCTACAAGATGACCAAGGTTAAAACAGCAGCACGACCTCTGCTTGTGCCCCAGACTTCATTAGCAGAGCCAATTTAATTAGAGAAAGCTCAGCTAAGCAGAATTGCTTACAGCCCTGTTTCATGTAGAGAGTATTTGCTAAAAATAACAGTTTGGGGGTAAAGATGCAGCCTCAGGACTCACCTGAGAGAATACTCACAACTTTTCTTAGCCCAGAATGAAACCTTCAGCTGCCATCTAACTCCTCAGTTTAAAAATTCGGGCCCCATTCTGTTCTCAGTTAGCATGTTACAAGGCTGAGCAAATTCCATTTGTGTCAGAGGCTTTAATTTAGATTTAGCCCAAGGGAGATTAACATAGAAATGGGTTCTTTGCATCTTTTCCAGGTTGTTGAAGTGAATCTTCCTCTGATTCAAAGGGCAGAAGTGGTCACCTACCAGCCTTCACTAGCAGGAAAGGTTGAGCAAAAGTTGTTTGTGCTTAAAACAAACAGTAGAAAAGAAAAATATCCTCGCACCAGAACTCAGTGTCTGGCTAYATCAGCACGAACATAAATTTCAAACCAGTCTGGTGAAAGAGCAAAAGCAGACGCTTGTCTCCAGTGAGCTCAGCCAGCTGTAAATACTAAATCCTTTAACACAAACAGTGTCACTCGCTGATCCCCAGCAGCTCCCACTTTGAGGGCAGTGGGTGATGAGGCAGTGGAGGTGGTACACATGAGCAGAACACTATGGAACTCACTTTTATCAGGCTTTACCCATTCAGAGGCTTCAGCAAAATCAGTCTGAGACTGCACCTGAACGGCACTGACTCCTGGTAGTTCATGGCAGCACAGCTTGGGCTGGTTTTGTGAGGCACTGAGCACCACAGGCAACTTCCACGGCGTTTCTAAAGGGTTACAACACCGAGCACCTCGCAAGGTCACAGCCTGGAAAGAAACTGCACCGTATAAAAAGCAAAAAAGCAGATCCAAGCCCTGGGAAGGACATTCACTACAAGCTGTGAATGTGTCTTTACACAAGTGCTTCTGATTTTGCTCCAATCCCTTYTCTGATGTCATCAAACACCTCCAAACTTTTACACAACCATTCGGGTGAAATTTCGCAGCGATATTTTGGGGTTTTTTTTTTTTCCCTTACCTGTCAAAAACCACGGCCGCGTACGCTGGCTCGGCAAAGATGACATCCCCAGGCAAGAATTCCTTCTGGGCTTTCAACCCCCTGCCTTTGCCTTCGGTGGCGAACACTTCCACTGACTCCATTCCTCCTTTGGTCATCCCAGGGACCCCGAGGCTTGGCAGGTGGTGTCTCGGAGCCAGCCAAATCTCCCGTCACCCCTGTCAACTGGAGGCCAGGCTTATAAAAGCAGGGCTGGTCTCCCCCCACCCCTGGGCACACGGATTCCCATAGGAGGGYGAGGGGGTGGGAGCAGGAGCCGCGGATCCTCTGCACAATATCGCCGAGCTACGCGGGGAAGGGATGGGGTTGGGATTTCTGCTCCATTAGGAAAACCCTCTCCAGAAGTGACGCTGGGAAATGTTTCTCCCAGCCACGAGAAGTTGTATATGTTACGCCTCGGCTCGATTTATAGTCTCCTGTCGGAGAGAGAGCGTATTCTCTCTGCGGGGTATTTTTAGCGACCGCATGGTTCTGTCTCTCAGGAAGCAACAGCTGAGACAGTGGGATGGGGAGGGCTGGGATGCCTATTTCTGACCCCTGCACTGTGGGTCTGGCTTTTTCTAGAAACCAAACAAAGCTGCTTTATTTTTACCCTCAAAGAGATTGACAGCAAATTTAGAGGCAGGGATAGCAGGGAAACATACGCCGTGACATTCTCGGCATCCTGTCACCACCGGGTCCTGGAAAAAAGGATTCACGTCCCAAATGCCAGTGTCAACGTGTGTGAAAGCGGCTGGAAGGACACCAACAGGTCAGCAGGACTGCAGGAACAAGCAGRACACCTTCAGAGAGTATCTCTCACCATTTTGGATGCACTGAACATCTTAGAAGCAGCACCTGGGAGCTGTCCCCACCTCCAGGGCTCAGCTGCAAATGAGAATCTGAGGCACCTGAGTGGAAAAGGAGGCTCCACCAAAGAGATTGAACTCGTGAGCAGTGAGGCCCTGGCTGTACTCTCTGCACCRGTRCAAGTTCAGGGAAACACAAGGAAARGCCCCCATGGATAAGAGTGAACCTCCCTGTGAAAACTGAACCCAGCCCAGATTGCCCTTCAGCATTTTTTTATCATTTAATAGCACTCCACAGGGCTGGTTCCTGCTAATCTCACCCTCCCACCCTGAGGAAACCTGACGCTGTTTCCTCCTGGACCTCCAAGCACTGCAGATAACAGTGATTGCAAAGCTCTTCCCACATCTCTGTGCTGCACGGAAAAATCTGCCTGGCTAACAGAAAAAAGCGAGATGCAGAGAAATAAAGAGGGTAAATTCTGTGCACCCTGTGGCAGTAAAGTAAATCCTTTCCATTTCTAAGGCAGTGGGAAGTGTCACTGGGCTCTTCCAGACAGAGCTGCTCAGCACCTCCTGCTAAAAGCCTCTGGCAATGTTCCTTGCCTACAAATGAAGTCTGCTAACAAATACCCTGTCTCGCAGCGTGCCCGCCTGTGCCAAGCACAAACAGCATCAATCCACAGCTCCATAAATTCAGGGTGATCTGCCTCTTCATGTGATTATGAGCAGTGTCTTCCCCAAACAACCAGACACCTCCAGTGCTCCTGAGGGGGACCAGAGCTGTCCCAGAGCCATCAGCACATGCTCAAGTTCACTCTGTGCAGCCTAAAAAAGTCACTACAGGCAATTAACTCCTACCAGCAATTACGATTTTAATTACAATGCTCGACATGTGTGATAGGTGATGTCAGAATGCTCTGCTCTCATCTGTTATCCACGGGTTATTCTCTTGGCTGTGGGTGTCTTTTAGAAGCTGCCAGAAGGACTTTAACACCTTAAAATCAGTGCTGATTATTTTTTTTTCCTCCCAAACCCACACAGCTTGGAGTGTGGCTGTATTCAACCCAGCTGTTAATCACACTAAGCACTATTTCTGATTGCCAGATAACAAATAATATAGAATAAATGGCATGGCATGGCATGGCATGGCATAGAATAGAATAGAAAATAGAATAGAATAGAATAGAATAGAATAGAATAGAATAGAATAGAATAGAATAGAATAGAATAGAATAGAATAGCAGAACAAATAATATCATTACAACAAAGAATCTAGCTTTTCAAAACAGATGCTGGGTATTGGGGATTCCTTCTTTTTTAATTCATATTTAGAGCAATGAACCTACTTTGAACCCCCTGAAAAAAAACCATTGCATTTCAGAGCCAGGTGGAGAAGAACACAGATTTTGGAGCATGGAGCAAGGCTGACTCTTCAACAGGAGATTTTTCTGTGCTTTGGGTCTGTCTGGATTGTGGACTGGAGGAGTGAGTGGCCCCATCCTCCCAAGAGGAGAAATAACAGCACCGTCTGCTGCCCTCTAAAAATTACCCAAAGCATGTTTTTATCAAATTTAATGGCAGCAGCTTTGGACTGTTGTGAGCAGAGCTCAGACAAGCATGAATTCGAAAGAAAAGAAAAAAAAAAGAAAAAAAGAGGAGAAAAAAAAAAGGAATGCCCTGTATTAGTCCTACTATTTACTAGGCAGTTACAAGGCAGTTACTAGCAATTGTTGGGCAGGTATTAAGCAGTTTTAGGAGCTGTTAGGCAGATATTAAGCAGTAATTATTATTTACTAGGCAGTTACTAGGCAGTAATTAGTGATTTAGTAACTGTTAGGCAGATAATAGACAGCTACAAACTCATTACTACCAATTGTTAGGCACACACTGAGATGTTACCAGCAGTCATTGCAGTGTTACTAGACTCTTCCTAGTAGTTATGAGCAGTTACTAGGGATTTACTAACTCTAGTAGTTACTGGGAATAACTAGACAGGTGCTRCTATTTCTGAGGCAATTACAATGCAGTTACTACACCATAACTTGCAGCCACTGAATGGCTTTGGTCAGTGCTTGACTGATCAGTTGCATAATGAAAATCAAGTTTAAAAAACTAAAAGAACCCCCACGGTTAGCAATGCATAAATGTGGGTTTTATTTAAAATATGTGAAGCATCCGTTGGCAGCAGATTTCCCCATTGTCAGTTAAATTTAGTAGCACTCTGGGAAACAGAAATAACTCCAGTGGAATTCATCACTCCCTTTAGAAAGCTGGCAGCTATTTTAGGCAGTCAGCTTTCTGGAGGAAAGAATGCGTGCTCTTCAAAGGAATATACTTGGGGAGAGTTGCAATGTGGCCTTGCTATGTTTAGGTTTAAATTCCATTTTTCACACCTATCTCCTAAATTGAATTGTCATGTTTTTGAACTCCAAAATTTGCTTTGGCACATTAACAGCTTCAAAAGTGCTTTGACCTGCTGGAAATTTCAAGGGATTTTAAGAGTCTGAGAGCTGTTTTTTAAAATCCTCAGTGTTCAGAGGTAGCTCACACCTTTATTTTTAGTGCAGAGCTGGTGCAGGTTTTGCCATGAGCCAGACACAGCAAGGATTGTGCTTGTCAGTTCATACCTGTGCCAAACAGAGCTGTAAAACTGCATATTATGGGWAMTTTCTGGTCTGATAATCTGTGAKAACAGAGGGTGTCYCTTTCYTCARTGCARAATCAGCTCTAAYTTTCRGCTTTGGAAAGACTCAATGACACARTTCTTTATAAYTGATTAATCACCCAACACAYACATGCTCCCCKTGGGGTTTTTGTTTGTTTTAGTGTAAGGAATTTCTTTTGCCTCAGTGGTAACAAGCTAAAAGCCCTTGGTACCTGTAGGAATGTGGTTTAGCTGTACTTTCAGCCATGCATCCTCTTTCAAGACTCAGTAAACAGCTCTCATATGTCATAAATTCCTAATTTTCCCCTCTTCCTCCTTCAGCACATCACATTCCCTTACTGGAGAGGAGAAAGAGTTTGGGTACCAATTCACTGATAGTGTTTCTCACCCAGTATTCCACAAGCCCATCATAAATAGCTCTGGGAGTAGGATGAGAAATAACATTGAACAAATGCTCTCTTGCAATCACGTGGGAGCATTTGTACATCAGAAAAGAGCTGGGCAGAAGGACAAATTCCTTGTCTTAACCTGCCCCAGAGAGTCTGCAAAGTGAGGACTGGGAGCTGTATTTCTTACTGTGTCCTTCAGGCACAAAGAGGATTAAAACATGACAGTGTGGAAAGGGAAAACAGTCTGTTATCCTAAGGATTCTTCTTTGGAAGGAATCAACCACTCAGCATAGGCTTAACCAGCTTTCTGTCATACCCTAATCAAGTTTTGGTGGTGTGTTTCAAGAAATAAAGCACAGCTGGATCAAACCATGCTCAAGGAAGTTGAAACAAAAAATCAAATACTTGTTTTCTGAAATTCTGAGCTATTTCTTGCAACAAAAAAAAAAAAAACATTTTACACTTTAAAAAAGTGCAGCTCTTTTTTTCTGATAAAAGCAGAATAGCTGATTTCAATCTGCTGCAGCATTTACAGGCTGGCCCAGCTCTCRTGGGTGTGATAGGAGGGAGGAAGCAGAGGACACTTAGCCATGTGTTGTGGCCAAATTAGTKCTAATGTAGTGTTCAAGGATGCATATAAAAGCTTGCAAGTTAGCTTTTGTTACAGTATTCTGTGGGGAAAAATTCTCAGAGTTTGAGTGATGGAACCAGTTTATGGAAACTTGCAGTGCCAGCATTAACARCATTCACTTCCAGGCAGAATCTAGCTTGGTGTTTCATTTTTTTAACATTCCCACAAGCTTTGAAAGCAAAACAAGAATCACTCAAAATATATTCAGTGAGTAAACTCACTGCGAAAATGAAAATTTAATGCTACTACAATRTTGTTTCCTTGGAGAAAAGTCTTTCACCTAACTGCAGAAATAGAAAATAGAAATAGAAATCTCTCTGGTTGAGCCTCCCTTCCTCTCATATAGGAATACAGTGCTGTAACACCACAATCTAGTGTATTTGATAGGGGATTTAAAGTGTTACCTTTGCCTGCCCTTTTTAAGTTGTATTTCTGTGGATATCAGAATGTATTTCTAAGCTTGTTGTCTGAACAGTGGCTGTGCTTTCTGCTGCCCCTCAGCCAAAAAGGACTGGATTTCAGTGCTGCTCTTTGCCTGCAGTTTAGACACCTGATACTCTTAGGGCTTTTGTTCATCTTCCCTCCCATTATAGGGCAGGAATATGATGGTCTGATTACAAGCAAAAGGGTTTGAACA